TGAGTGTTGGAGGGGAGCTGGGGTGGGTGAGGGCTGGGATGGGGCTGGTGAGGGCTGGAGTGTGGGGCTGGGGTGGGGTGGCTGAGTGCTGGAAGGGGGTGGGACGGGTGAAGGCTAGGGGGGCTGGTGAGGTCTGGAATATGGGACTGGGGTGGGGGTGGCTGAGTGCTGGAGTGGGGGCTGGTGGGGGCTGGAGTGTGGGGCCGGGGTGGGGGTGGCTGAGTGCTGGGGAGCAAGGCTCCTTACAGTTGGGCAGTGAATGCAGATGGGCCCTGGCCATCAGGGGCCAGGTGGGGAAGAGGATTGGCCTGTGGTTGAGCAGGCCTGGTGGGAAGGAGTGGGCACTAGTGTTGGCATTGTAGGGAAGGGGGAAGGAGAGAGGAGACAATGGAGAGCGTGTGGTACCTATTGCAGGATTAGACAGTGGCAAAGGGAATCAAGTAAGTTTGGGACAAATTCAGAGGAATGCATGGGGTGGAGGGGTGTTGAAGCGGAGGGTTGGGGACAAGGTCTGGAGAGGTCCAGATGGATGGAGAGAGAAATCAAAATAGTGTATTGCATGATGGTTCTTCTGCTGGAATGGTGGAAGGAGGGCATTGCTCTTGCTAACTTCTGCCCCCACTTGTCCCTGTGAGTGGACTGGATCAGCTAGGAAAAGGAACATGTTAGGTTTGCTGGAAAGGTAATGGGGGCCATGTTCTGTGTGTCAGTTTACACAATTGCATGACTTTATTCTGGTTGACTCAATGATTTCTCTTTGTGCAGATGCACATAAGGGTCTTCCCACTGGCATTATGTCTCTGGGGCTTGGTCAAGACCAGCTACTCCTGTAGGGAAAGCCTTTCATCTGATTGTCTGTGGATGTTCTGGGGAATTCTGTCTGGAGATAAGGCGCCCCAGGACCTGTTTGTGGTAGAAGGTTGGCAAGAGATCATGAACTTCGAGGAGGGCTGCTGTACAGTGAATCCTGACAGTGCTTGGGATTGGTTTCCATTCTGAAGTGCCAATATCTTGCTGGATGCTGACAGAATATTTATATCTGGGGCATCCCAGCAGGAGGTGGATTGAGTTAAATTGGGTATGATGAGAGTCTGGAGGCTCTTACTGTAAATTGACTTCCAATGTCGGCTAGTCCAGTACTAGTCTGCGCTCACTTTTTCTCATTGTTTGCTCTTCTGTCTTTTCCTTTGTCTGTCTAGTTACTGCAGATGTCTTCGTTTTTTGGTTGAAGGAAGTGGGCAGTAGGCAGGACCAGATAACTCCATTCTCGAGGAAGTAAAGTGTATCTATAAATCTGGCAATATATTTAGTTTAATCTTTGAAACTCATTATAGTATGTCCACGTCTGGCCAGCTCTGGTGTTTAGAGCAGAAAATTGTCATATCAGCTTGTGCTACTGACAGCTTTGTTTGCGTTTGAGCTGGTCAGTGAATTTACTTCTCAGACTGGCTCATTGAAGCCACCTTCTTCTATGAGGAGGAGAACTGGGAGCAGTTTTTCAACAGACATGCTTAGAGTTTGACAATGCTCCTGCCTCTGGAGGGGCCATAGGAGGGGCTTTCTAAGAATTGGCTTGTATGTCACTATTATAAATTGGCTGACAGATAACATGTTCAGAAAACAGACTCCTGTCAAAGGGGTTATAGCAGTTCCGGTAGTAGTACACAGATGTGCACCTGGGCAGACTCTGTGACTTGAGGCCCTGAATCGTCTGGTCTCTAAATACTGTATGGGTGGACCTGGTTCTTAGTCTTGCTCCGGATGCTTAACTGTATTTTGTTGTCCTGTATTTTTACCTGCTCTGGAGGCCTGATGATGGCTGTGTCTCCGGTACTCATTGTGGTATCAGTGGCTTATGCTTCACTGGTTAGTGCCAGTTTTGTGGCTTACATGTTTGGAAATTGAGTTTTATAACTCATTCTGAAGTTGTGATCTGGGCTTCTGTTCTTTTTTTAAGTAGATGTAGGTTGTTTGGGGACAGGGCGGGGTTCTCTTTCATCAGAGAAAAGAGGGTTGGGTGTGGGTGGCGAGGTGGAAGGAGAATAAATAGCAGGTAATCAGCAGCTAGCTTTATAAGTGCTCATGAGGTTGACACTGAGGACCTGTCAGTGCTGACTAGTTTGGATGCAATCCTGCAATTCCTGCTGTAGCCTCTCTTCGAAAACAGATGGGATTCTCAGTGTTAACTAGTCAATGTGGGAGTCTGTATTTGCCTTGCCTGTGCTGAATGCCTAGGCCCTCAGCTGAGAGTTGATATGCATTCTGTTCTCCCTTAGGCTGCACCAGTTTGTGTTAATCTTGCCTAATTCCCTTCATGGCAGAATTCCTCTCCTCACCCCTACAGTCAGTAAGAAAACAGTGTCACAAGTTGCTATTTCCTAAATAGCAGCAACCAGAGAGGGAAGGGAGAATCTGACCTCAGGTGGAAGGGAGAATCTGAAATCCCTGACCACTGCAGGCCGTTTAACACATTCACATGTCACATGTTCCACCATAGGGAGAAAGTGGCTTCTGTTCAATTACAGGGACAGTTTAAGCAGTCATTGAAGACCTGCATTGTATCCATTTCTAGCTCAGTCTGAAATTTAACAGGCCTCCAAGCTTGTATTGGCTCTTCCAAGCAGTGTCAGGGATAATAGGATTTAATTATGCAGAGTCTTTTGTGACATCACTGAAGAAAAGATAATGCGATCACAGGTAGATGCCTTCGTGTGGGACTAAAGAGATGGAGCTGACAAGCTCAAAGGGACTGAGATTCTATTTTTGTGCAAGCTTCTCTAATAGAAAATGAGAAGAAAAATCCAGAACCTAGGATATATATGGGAAATGTTTTGTGGGATTCTCAGAAGGGAATCCAGGTGTGCTTGTAAGGGGCTTGTAGACACAATGTTGTTAAGAAACCTCATGGTTGGGAAAACACTGCAAAAATTTCTGGAACTGGAGCAGGTGTGAAGGGGTTAGGTTAGGGACTTTACTGAGTTCTCCCATCCCTCCTCTCACTACCACTGTTCACATAGGACGCAGTGTCACTACATGTTCTTTTCTGAAGTGTGGGGGCAAGATGATGAGCTCTATCATCTAGACAATGAGGTGGGATTAACTTGAGATGGATCCCTCAAACTGAGTGAGGAACAGTTTTTACAAAGTCCAAACTACCCATGGCTGAATCTCAGCAGGTGAAAAAGTGAGCAGCACTGGCGCATTGTTTTTATTTAATTCTTGCCAAATTAGTTTGGTTTTTGTTTAAGTGACTTCCTGGTAGGTGAGCCACTATATGTATGTAATATATCCCAAGGGGTCTGTGCTTCTCCCATGGGGTTGCCTTGCAATGGATCCATTCTGGGCCCGTGTATGTTGCCGTCCCTAGTTATGCTTTATGGAGCGGTCTTCACATACTGCTTCCACCTACTCTCCTGAATTTAATTGTTCCAGGTGGAATGAGCTCCATAGAAAGGAGATGAATAAGCAGGGACAGGATAAAAATATATCAGATAAATGGTGCAGAGAAGGTAGGTCAACAGTTTCTGTTCTCCCTGTATTATAAAAAACAAGGTGACGTTCAAAGAAATCGTGACATGTGGCAATTTCAGAACTGATGAAAGGAAATACTTTTTGACACAATGCAAAAAAGAACTAGATAAGTTCATGGAGGATAGGTTAGTCAGTGGCTATTAGCCAGGATGGGCAGGGATGTTGTCCCTAGGCTCTGTTTTCCAGATGCTGGGAATGGGTGACAGGATGGATCACTTGTTGATTATCTGTTCTGTTCATTCCCTCTGGGACACCTGGCATTGGCCACTGTCGGCAGACAGGCTACTGGGCTAGATGGACCTTTGGTCTGACCCAGTACGGCTGTTCTTATGCTTAATGCTCAGTTAAACTGTGGAGCTCATTGTCACAGAAAATTGAGAGCTAACAACGTTTTGAAAGTTATATTAATCCTTGTGATTCAGGAATTAGAGATTGGATTACTAAGTAATAAATAGCATCATGAGACATGGTCTGGGGTTAGATTATTCCACATCTCCCTAATATGGGGGCTGGTCAGTGTTGGAGACAGGATACTGCAGTAGATGGACCTTAGATCTAATCAACTATGGCAATTCCTATGTATCTCTTCTCTTCCCTCTCCCCAAAAAGTCTGTAGACCGGGATTCCAAGATAAGGAATAAGAGCCTTAAGGTTACATCTGACCTCTGTCATATAGTTTATTTTCTTGTAGCACCCAGCACTGTAGTGTGTGTGCATGCTCTGGTCTCCTATTCTGTCATGTTTGTCCTGTTGCTGCTGCAAAACCACCTCATTTGACTCTGAACAGTGGTACAGTGATGTAGGCGGTGGTGCAGCAGCAGCATCTCAGGTAAAAAACCTGTTGGGATCAAGTCTGTTTAACTCTTCCATATGGTTG